TGAAATTCTGTCGTGGACGTATCATACTTTCCATCGATGTTTTGGACAGATAATTCAGTAATCCTATGTTTCAGGATCTGGTTTTCATGACCGCAGTGGCATTGTTGACTGGGCTTCATCTTGAGGTTACGCTTACATTGTATCAGAGTGAAATAGACCGAAAGATACTGGTTTTCACAGTTCTGCGGTTTGACCCAACGTAAGGATTGGGAATCTTCCGGGGGCAATGTTTGCTTCAGGGCTCAATACCACATGGCCTTCACCGCCATTACCAGCAATGCCTAGTTAATATAGAGTATCGTTTCAGTTAATTAACTCCTAGGCAATCGGAGCGGCCAGCCATGTTGTTGAAGCTCTGTTTGGCCTCAAATTACGATGAAAGCCGCGAGGAAAGTGCCTCTTGGTCCAGTTTACATGTAGTATTGAAATAATAAGCACGAAACGCGAACGTCATTTGACAACCGCAGTTTTTCGGCGATAGGTGGCAGATGTCAAATTTACTGCTGTCGATTGCTCTTCCTACTGGGCGTTGGTTCGTTTCCACGGCGCCTGGTCTTGCCCGCTTGCTGGCTTACGAGTGAATGGTTTTACTGGCGTTCGTCTATGATGGGCGAGACGAGGTGAAGTGAAATTCCGTCATTTCGGTGCGAGGCGTTTTTTTTCTGTGGAGGGTTCGTTTCCATTCACAAGAGCTGTCATCGTCACTAAGCGAACCCCGGGTCATTTCGGATGCTACTTTTTGCAACCTCAGCAGATGACGCCGAAACGCCGCGACCTTTTCATTCTTCGCTGTCCGTATCTTTTGAGTGACGTTGTAGCTAACGTCAGCGCGTTGGTCAGTCGCTCGCGTTTGCCTCATCTTGAAGCGCACTCTCCTTGTCACTACTTGAAAGTAACGCTGGCGCAGCGAGCCGGTCCAATGCCACTTCACTCAGTGGAACTTGACACAGTTCCGCGCGGTCAAAAATGATGGAGTCATGCACTCTCGAAAATCGACGTCCTCTTCGAACCCTTCGCTTCACCATCGGTGACCGATGATTACGCGAGGTATTGTCTGATCTATAGCATTCATCGGTCACCTGATTCTGATTCCCGTTTTGTGGGTGCAGCCTGCCGGTACGCAGGTCGCCGTCCAGGCGAGGCTTTTCATTCGTAGAAAAGTGTTGCGTCTTCCCTCTCCATACACATGCACATAAACACACACTAAACTTGAAACCACCAGCTTCTGTGTAGGTAATGCGAAATTTCTGTTTCCTCAAGCGGGGGTAGGGGGGATGTCAGATCATACCGCTGATCTTTTCAACCCGAAGCATGATGGTTAAACGGAGAACTGTTCAGATGCGTTCCTGCTAAAATGTGAATTATCTACGCAAAATTTTAGGCCTTCGTTGATATCGTTGAGTAAGGCGAATCAGGAGTGGTTTTTTTGCCAAGTACTTATTCGACGCGCTACGTCAGCGCTGCAGGAGCAACAGTCTAGCGGTTTGACCAAACCATAGAGAAAAGCTTAATATCACTGGCTTGTAAGATCTATGCATGGTAACCCAGCATTGCATATCTCTGCGCCTAAGGTCAATAGAGAACGTTGCGGGACAGCATACGGACCGATCCCCAACCACGCCGAAGGATCTCTTTGATGGAAGCGATGAAACTTCTTTTTTTGAATCGACCGATTCCGCTTGTGAAATCAAAATTCAAGTCGTTTATTTGCTTGTTACTAAGATTGTAACCGTAGCTTTTCACAGCAGTTTGCATACTACATGATCAAAGAAAAAATGCGAAGATAAACATGCTCATTGCTTGCTATTATTACAAGACTTTCACACCCTGATAGGCGGTGCTAGACGATCTTCAACCTCGGATGCATTGTTGAGGATGCATACGACCTCCGTCAACACTGATCTCTGGTGTGCTTCGGTTTTGTTGGAATGAACACGCAGGGAGATCGTGTGTCCGTTCTTCTCGTTCTACAGGGGACAAGGCATTTGCGCGACGGGTGGTCAGCAGTCTCCTCAAGGATATTTAATCCAATAGATCTCGTTTCTAATACAACTCCTTTTGCCATCTGTTTAACGAGTGTTTCGGTCGCCCTGCCGCTGATCCTTAAAATTGTTTTCCTGCAGCGACTCAGCGCAGTGGCATCATTCTTGGATAGCTCCTGGAAAAATACAGAGTCGTTGTAGGTGGTCATTGAGGGAACGCGCGCATAAACAATGGTTCATACAAGCTTCACGCTGTAATCACACTCGTCGAAGCCGGTACTAGAAGTAGTTCAAACTTTGCATCTTGGCGACCACCGTTTTGACAGGTGTTCAGACCAGCATAAGTTGTTGTTGATGGTAAGACTGAACATCTTGTGGTGATCAGCGATTTTTGCCGCTATACCTTCTGTTACTGTGGCTTAAGAATCAAGATGAGCTAAAACGTTACCGGAAGATAACATGGTAAATTGCCGTCACATAAACAGAACAGGATATAGAATGAGTAAAGGCAGACTCATTTAACGCAAATTCGACATAAATTCAGACTTAACCCCACTTATCCTGAAAAACGCTATGGAAATAATTTCTTGTTATGAAAATTTAAAGCTTACTTAAAACGCCTACATTAACTCGCACGCAGCCTAATAGCGGTCTTGTTCAAGATAGACAACCCACGCGGTGCATGCACGCGCCTTCCTCAGTCTCGCCTTGTTTGCTATTGAACATGGCATGCTACACATTTTTATTCATGCAATTTAATACTTCTATTGGTTGCGCGAGCGTTGTGTCAGAACATAATTATAATTCGGGAAGAGAAAAATAAAGCCGCTGCTGAGGCATTTGATGATTTCATAAGGAAGGTCAAAAGGCTGCATTATTTGGTTTTTTTCGTCTTCTTTTTATTGTATTATATTGCTTTGCAGTAATATTTGTGTATGCATGTGTGCGTCCTGTGAATGAAACTAACGCAACCTTTCAGACATGTTTATGTACTACGGTGTGATTAATGGGTGGGAGTAGGTTACATACAACTTGCTTAAAATTCGTAAAGGTTTACCGAACGTAATTTTACAATTCACAGCTCGTCTGTATTTGGCTGGTGCGTTGGTAGTCATACTGAAGCATTGAATAAAGGCGGGTTGTTTTATACCCGGCGTGTTAGATGGTCAATCAGGTGATTGGAGCCGAGAGGGCGAACTCGTCACTTACTGCAGACGAGCTGAGCTACCACCAAACCTCCGAATCTTGTCATTACCTCTGCGTTGAAGAAGGCTCCCTGAGAAACGAGCCAAATACTCAGTATCGCTCAATTGCCTGAGTGGCCAAATTTTGCGCTGTATGCAAAATAAGCTGTTTTATCCTATTTTTCGGATAGGGTATAGCAGGATATGTTTATCCCAAAGCACGCAACCATATAATATGTAGCTGGATGCCTGTAACAGTGCTTGGGGATACGGATGAGGAAGACGTTTCCGTTAATTATTCACTTAGTTGGTTTACATCGCAGTATTTGATAGTCCTGAAACATTGATAAAGTATGATAAAACCTAACGTACTAATGATATACTGGGTTTCGTCAGGTTTCGATGATGCACTTATGATAATACATACATGTTCCTTCTCCGCGTAAACTCGGATGTTAATCACATCGTCCTTTTGCTTTTAGAGGCATACGTGACTTAAGCAGGCATAATCTTCTGCATTATAGAAGATTTAGTGCATCGGTGGAAATGCGTGTCTGCCTCGCCATATAGCGAAGCAATATAGTATTTTGGCCGGTGTTTGAACTTGTTGTTCGGCTGATGCACCCATGCACCGTAGGTACTACATTGCCGCGAAGCCCTGGCCGGTATTCAAGGCGTGACACGGATACTCTGTAAAAGCAAGAGAACCACGCGATTAACACTGTCTACGTCTACGAAAGGATGCCGCTTATGTTGTTCTAACGGACAATATCAAAAACTAATATTTATTCGTAAAATTCGAAAAACGGATACCGCTTATCGAATTTATGATTTTCATATATGCATGTTCTCCACCGTTTCGGATCATGATCGATCGATCGTCAGGGAAAGCTAATATAAAACAAACAATTTTATAGTGTATACCGTTACAGTCAGGTATCGGAAGATAGAGTAATTCGTTCGTGCGTTGGTGGTTGCATTGAAAAAAATAGCATAAAACACGGTTTACTTATGCACAACACTAAAAATACAATGATCAGTACAGTGACTGACCAATACCGACGTTTCGGCCCGTGTCTCACGGGCCTTCTTCAAGGTAGGTTGGGAGTGAGATTTCGTAAATATGGTTGATCGTCCGCAGCTGTCGATTGCTTCAGTGTCAGAAAGCAAACTTTCGATCTGACTGATGATTAAATAGTTTTTGGGCGACAGGGGTAGCTAGGCTCATCCAATACGCGCAGACTTCGTATCTTATGTTGCGGTTGACGTTTGTGCACGATTGGATGATTAATGCCTCCTTTATCCGCCTGTGTAGCCGATGTGTCTCTTTGTTGATGCTACTGCGCTCTGAACATCTTGGAAAGTATTATCCTTGCTTGGGAAGTATTATTCTTGTAAGCCGTTGTATGATGCGGAATTGAAAATTAACATTTATTAGTAAACCCCGAACATCCTGAGTATTTTTGAGATATGCGTATCTGCGAATAAACATAATTTGTTTGGTATTGAGCATGCTCGGGTTAATACGGCGATAAGGTCTTGCGTGCATGCATGGCCGATGCTATGATTCCATGGAACCGTGTCCTGCTTTACGTCCGTAACACCTTTTGCAGTAAGGCGACGACTGATGCGGTGTAAAGCCGGCAAACGTAGAAGTACAAACACGGTCAAAACTCAGCGTACTGACACGAGGTAAAAAACAAGCGACTGTCAGAATTTACAACGGATTCCGACGTTTTGGTGTGTGTGGAACTCACTGTCGTCAAGGCCTCTGATGCATTATTTTGGTGTCCCGTATGTTGATGTTTCATTCTTGCCGAATTGTATTTGTAATGCAATAGCCGTTTGTTCTCTCACGATTAAATATCGCCTTTGGATGACACTCTGTGACCACCAGCGTGCGAAAGAACTGTTCTTTTGCACTACGTTCAGATGCTGG